AAATTAGTATGGATTAAATATACATATTTGTATATGTACATGTATATATTATTTTTTCTCTTGAGGGCAGCATGTATTACATTTTTATGTCATGGTTTAGTGTTAGGTAGCTAGTCTGAAAAGTTAGGTAATTGGAGCTTACTTTTTACCTTAATTTTTATAGTAGTAGTTAATCCTTGCCTTTCCAAAATGAAGTTCTTACTCCACAGTGTACAATTAATCTTTTTTTTGAAAACTATGACAACTATAAAATCAAAAATTTTAATTTTTTATATGTATTTTGTGTGGATGTTTTTCAGGTGGAACGAAAGACAGTTTTACTTTCCAGTTTTACATATTTTAGATGAAGCCCCTTGTGTGTATTAACCAACATGTTATAGTCTTAGTTTAAATGTTTTGTCAATAAGACTGATCTTTTTCTCTTTTTATTGGCAAACCCAATAGTTGGCTGGTTTTTAGAAGATTTATTTTTATAGGATTGTTATCGAGTGTTCTGTTCTTTCAGCTTTATCAACTTCAGTATTAGAGGTCAAATTCAAATCTTATCTAATATTGTTTCAGACATTAGCCAGACTATTTTCTAATGGTATGTACCGTTAAATAACTTTATTGTCTTAATATTTGCTTTCTGGTAGAATGATGCCAATGGGTGGAATGATGCCACCTGGACCTGGAATACCACCTCTGATGCCTGGTATGCCACCAGGTATGACTTTACACAAGTTCTTTGTAATATGACTGTTACCTTCGTAAGTCTTTTAGCTAATAGGTGCATTTGTGGATTTTGGCGTGGTGTAATTTTACACCTTCCCATAACACTAACAAGTTCTTTTTGAAACTAACGTGAGAACTATTAGGTTTTTTAGGTTTTAAATAGTAAAAATATTGGGTTTCAAAGCAGGCAAAGTAAGTCATAGAGCCTGTGTTCTGAAGCTCAAATACCTAAGTATTTAAAACAAATAATAGAGAATATTTTAACAGGTAATAGGGAAATAAAGCAGATTGTTAAATGATGTAAATATTTATCTCGGGGCCGGCAAGTGGCATGGTGGTTAGGGACGCTGGACTCCCACGTGGCCGACCACGGTTCAAGTCTCAGACCTGGTGGCTTGCTTTCTCACTTCCTCTCTCTCTGATAAAACTGAAAATAATAATAATAATAAATAAAGTTAAATAAAATAATTCTCTTAAAAAAAGGATCTCAACAAAAAGAAAAGTAGATTGAGTGCAGCTAATAATCAAGAATCCATTTTTTTTAAAAAAACTTTCCTTTTAGTTAACCTTAGCTTTTCTCCTCAGAAATGTCAGTGGTTAAAAGATTACCTAAACAAGAAAGGGGTAGTAATAGCCATGTGTTCTCTCTCTCTCTCTCCTTTTATTTATTTATTTTTTTATTTTTATTTTTTTGGGGAAGTTTTTCCTATAGGGCACATGCACTCGCTAGAAAGAGACACAGAGACAGAAAGCGAGAAATCACCCACCTGGTGTGATGGTCACACCACGATCCCTTCTCTTCCATTTTCCTTTTGGGATCTTGGGCATGCATTCACATGCACCTGTCATGAGTGTTAAGCTACTGGGTCCGGGACTCAAATCGCGGTTGATTACATGGGAATCCAGTGACATAGCCATTATGCCAACTGCTGGTCCCGTTTCTAATCTCTTTATTTTTATTTATTTATTTATTTATTTTTGAGGCAGATTTTTGCTATAGGCCACATGTGTTCACCTGAGAGGCAGAGAGACAGAAAACAAGAAATCACCCACCTGGTGTGATGGTCACACCACGATCCCTTCTCTTCCATTTTCCTTTTGGGATCTTGGGCATGCATGCATACTACACTCCTGGCGTGTGTCAAGCCGCCGGGTCTGAGACTTGAACCATGGTAAGCTACATGGGAGTCCAGCAACGTAACCATTACATGCCTTTTGGTGGTCTCTCTCTCTCTCTTTTTTTTTTTTTTTTAAATAGCAAGCAAATGGAGACAGCTTCAAAGCACAGAGGTTTCTTTCTGTGTGTTGAAAACCAGATTCCACATGGCTGATTACCAGAAAAAAATGATGGGACAGTAAAACAAATAGAATGGAGAAAAGAATTGTGGTATAACCATGCCCGTGGGGTGGGATGCATGTTCACTTGTACTCATGTTTTCTCTCTTTTAAGCACAAAAGTCACCAAAAAGTAACAAAAACAAAATAATTTTCTTTCCTTTTTTTGGGGGGGGGAGAGGATTTTGCTATAGGGCGCTTGCGCTTGCCTGAAAGACAGAGACAGAGAGACAGAAAGTGAGAAATCACCCCCCAGGGGGGATGACTATGCCGCAATCCCTTCTCCTCCATTCTCCTCTTGGGGTCTTGGGCACGCACGCACACGTGCCCGGCGTGAGTTTAAGCCACCGGGTCCAGGACTCGAACCACGGTTGACTACGTGGGAGTCTAGCGATATAACCATTACACTAACTGCTGGTCCCCATATGCAGGGTCTTAGTGGTATCAAAAGGAAGGGAAAGCTAGACAAAGATTGTTACAATGGCAAGTGCTTAAATTCCTTGGACTTTATTAAAATTGTTCAGGAATTAGCAAATTGTTGGTAACTATAGTATTGAATCAGTTCATTCTGAACTAAATGTTTCAATGACCAAGTCTCCTCTAATGTTTTTTTGCAGGTATGCCTCCTCCTGTTCCCCGTCCTGGGATTCCTCCAATGACTCAAGCACAGGCTGTTTCAGCACCTGGTATTCTCAATAGACCACCTGCACCAACAGCAACAGTACCTGCTCCACAGCCTCCAGTTACTAAGCCTCTTTTCCCCAGTGCCGGGCAGGTAAGGTGAAATTCCTGAAAAGGAGCACACTTATATTTAAAGGTAAAACGTGTACTCGTTTATGGAAATTTTAAAATTGTCATAAGTATTTTTTTAATTTATAATTAATTTTGAATATTTGTTTTAGTAAATATGCTAGAAAGCGACCTGTATTTTTTGATGTTCACACATTGATTTCCTCTACTTTCATAAAATCGAATGGGCCAGGAGTAGTGTGGGCTCTGTTTATTCTTAACCTTAGTTAGAAGTGTAAGTTTAACTTCTGGGGAGTTAAATACATGGTAATGTTTAGAAGTCATCTATTAAACTCTGGAAGGAATAAGAGCAAAGGCAGCGGTGAAAGTCATTAAGATTTGAGCAGGTTTTTGTTAGCCTCTTCTCTAGTTTGGAACACGTATAAATTATCATGTTGCAGTTACTGTCAGTGCTATTTCATGGCTTTTGCCTAGTCATACTTTGTACTGCTGATCTTGTCTGACTTTGAAAACTTTTCCCAAAACATACGTGAAAGTTGGTTCTGTTATGTTTTTATTGATATGTATGCGTGTGTGTTTATATACATAGAAATAATGTGCACGTAATGGATGAAGCCTTTGTTTTCAGTTTCTTTCAGAATTAAGCAGATATATTCAGTTCACTTAGAATATAGATCAAGATGTATGTTTATTCTCTTCTAGTCTATCTTAGGTGTTTTCTTTAGTGTTTTCTATTATGGTGCTAATAAATTAAAAGCATTACCTTTAAGTACCCTTTAAATACATTAACTTACTCTTGATGGTGGGTGGGGAATTTATTTAGAGATGTTAAACTGCTGGCAAAAATCTTTTGTATAGAATCATTTATAACAATTGGATTGAAGTGTCGATATTAATGCATCGTTAGTTTCATTGGTTTATGGTATCATTTTTGATAAATCAAAATGCGAAAAAACACTAGCTTTAGAAAAGAATATGGTTAACCTAGATCTATTGGTGTAGAATTTAAAAATTTTTGAGGCTTGTACTTTTACTTTGTTTATTGTAAATGCATTAACTATTGTCCTCTTTAATAAATGACATTTGATTGCATTAAATTTTGCATTTATAGAAATGCAATCTATACTAAAAAGTCTACCACATGGCTTATTTTACCCATTTGTTTGGAGACTTTTCATTGTTTCCTTTCTTTTATGCTACAGATGGGGACACCTGTAACAAGCTCAAGTACAGCTTCATCCAATTCAGAAAGTCTGTCTGCATCTTCTAAAGCTCTGTTTCCTAGCACAGCACAAGTACGCAGGAAGTTGCAGTTTAAATTATTAAAATGGCTTTATAACTTAACCCTTTGGATCCTACTTAAAAACTAAAACTTCTCCCCAAATAGTATTATGTTTAAATTTTTAAAAATAAAGTTCATGGTACCTAATTCAAATGGCATTTTAAAATTTGGAATTCATTTAGAAAGAAAAAAACAGTACCCCAAGTTCCTATGGTTCTAAAGGGTTAAAAGCATGTAAGCAGTAAATGCATTATAGTGGCCAATGGTTAGCCTGATACGTGATTAAGCTATTTTGATTTCTGCTATTTTATTTAAGACATCACATTTAATGTAAGGAAATTTAGTAGTTCACATTTGGTTTTAAAGTTGGCCCATCTAAAACTCTGTGTTTTAGATCTTTGTTATTATGAAAAGTGACATTTGTTACTGGGGACTTTTCATTTTAAAAGATGCTGTTAAATTAACCCTTTGTATATGGTTATCATCCAGCTATGCTAATTTGGGAGGGTGGGTAATTGTATTAGATGGAAATAATTCTATAGGGCCAGCAGGTAGTGTGGAGGTAAAGGCAGCTGGATCCTACATGGCCGACTCCATGGTTTGAGTCCTAGACCTAGGGACTTATAAAGCATACTGGGGACATGTGTGGCCAAAATCCCAAGAGGAGAATGGAGGAGGAGGGATTGTGGCATGACCATCTCCCTTTAAGGGGTGATTTCTCATTTTCTCTCTCTGTCTCCAGTGGTGTACCCACCCTTTTGCAAAAAGCCAAAAAAGGGAGAACAAAAGTCCTTTAAAGAACATATTTTTAATATATCATCATAGCTACTAATTGTTCATGCCTACTTAGTAATGGGTTTATACAAACTCTTGTATTCTGTAGTTTTGTAACTTTGTATGTGTGCTGCTTGATATAAACAGTTTAGAACAGTAAAAATATGTAATCCGTTATACTGTATTTCAGCAGTCTGGAATAAATAGAAAATGTTTTAAATTGAGATTTTGGTGAACACATAGAAGACATCTGAGAAATCTTATGCCTTCTTTCCACTGCTGTGTTTTGTATGACTGTACTTAGTTAGCATCTTTTGATCTTATGGATTATCTTGAATTTTGGGGGAACATTAACACATTAACTTGGTTTTAATTTCATTGAAAATTTGGTCCTTTATACAGTATAAGGTTTTGGTTTTAAGGTAAACTACTTATATATATTAATATCTTGAGTTTGGATTTAAAAGTTTTGTTGATGAAGAATTGTGTTTCGCAGGCTCAGGCAGCTGTCCAAGGACCTGTCGGTACAGATTTCAAGCCTTTAAATAGTACCCCTGCAACAACTACAGAACCCCCAAAGCCTACATTCCCTGCTTATACACAGTCTACAGCTTCAACAACTAGTACAACAAATAGTACTACAGCTAAACCAGCAGCTTCCATAACAAGTAAGCCTGCTACACTTACAACAACCAGTGCAACCAGTAAGTTGATCCATCCAGATGAGGATATATCACTGGTAAGTTGTTCTCAGACTTTCACTAGCATCATTTGATTGAAAACCTTCATAGCAGCTTGCCCCTCTGAAAAGTGTTCATTTGTATTAAGATGGTTTTGTGATCTGATTTAAGGTAACTAAGTGGTTTTACACTGTTCTGATTTTTTTAAGAAACCACAAAATACTTAGAATAAACAAAGTGGGTAGATGGCGCATATTTTGATCTTAGATGTTCTCTCTCCAGACTGTTTACCTTGGGTTCTTACTCTTATAGGTCATTGTAGTTAGACATAAATTTGTATATATTAACTGAAACAGTTAAGTGTGAGAATCTGCAGCTCCTTTGAAGCCCATATATCGGAATTTATTTTGATATGAAAATCCGAAATAATGAATTTTATGACAAGACTTCATCACTAGACAGTTTCTTTCTCTTTTTTAAAAGAATTATTTAACTTTATTTGTGTATTTTAATTTGACCAGTGAGGGATGGGGGGAATGTGGAGAGAGAAAGCAAGCTGCTAGGTCCAGGACTTGAACTGCATGTGCAGCCATGTGGGTGTCCCGCGTGCCACTTGCCGGCCCATCACTAGACAGTTTCTTGCTGAAGCGGTTTATAATTCCTGGGAAGTTGTTAGCCATGCTTCAGGTATAAAAACAGATATGGTTTTTATAAGACATTGGAATTTTAAGTTGGAAGATTAGTTTTTGAGGGTGGTGGAAACAGAAGTAATTAGTTGGAGAATGAGGCCTAAATCCTTTAAAAATTATTCTTAACTATAGATAAGATGCTTGGCTTTATGCTTAACAAACCTCTCTGCATTCATATGTTTAACATTGTACCTAATTTATTTCTAGGAAGAGAGAAGGGCACAGTTACCTAAATATCAACGTAATCTTCCTCGACCAGGACAGGCCCCCATAGGTAATCCACCAGTTGGACCAATTGGAGGTATGATGCCACCACAACCAGGCATCCCACAGCAACAAGGAATGAGACCCCCAATGCCACCTCATGGTATTTTCTTCTTTTTGTATTTTTTTTATTTAGTGGGTTTTCTGAGTATGCACATAAAATATTTATCTGCAAAATAGCATTGCATTTAAAAATATAATGCAAACACCAACTGTTTTTTTTTTTGTGTGTTTTACATGTGTTTTTTAGGTCAGTATGGTGGTCATCATCAAGGCATGCCAGGTTACCTTCCTGGTGCTATGCCACCCTATGGGCAGGGACCGCCAATGGTGCCTCCTTACCAAGGAGGGCCTCCTCGACCTCCGATGGGAATGAGACCTCCAGTAATGTCGCAAGGTGGCCGTTACTGATCTTACTTCATCCAGTCTAATAGGTTTGGAGATTAAACCTTTTCTCAACTTGTGCTGTTTATATAGCCAAGCTTCCGTCAATAAGGCTTCATTGTGACTTTAACAAACATTATCTTCCTACATACCAGGAACTATTGGACATTTATTTTACATGGGAAAAATTATTTGGAATAATAAAGCAGGAACTTTTCCTGAAGTTGCAATTTATACTGTATGGCTTCTTTTTCATGTTTCATCTAGGTTTTTAGAAGTGAAGTATAGTAAATTTGGTTCGTTAAATTGTGAAGGCGCTGGAATTACATGAACATACCACCTTAATAAAGGCAAGTTCTGTAAGCTTACATTGCTATTTGTAAAGTTATGCCTTCACAGCATTTCAGATGCTGTTGGACTTTATGTCCCCAACCTAGCTTGGTGAGGGCTGTAACTGTTTCCAAGTAACTGTACATTGGAAGTCTGAATGTGTAACAATATTTAATGTATTTAGAGTTCCTCATGTTGCAGGGTTTAAGAAATCTGACCCACTGAGGTCATGTGACTTTTCTGTACTGTTAAACTTCATTGTAATAAAATGAGAGAAAAATTTATGCCTTTTTATTCATAACCCAGCTGTGGACCACTGCCTGAAAGGTTTGTACAGATGCATGCCACAGTAGATGTCCACATAATAAAAATTTATAGTTACCAATGCAGTTTTGCTATATCATTGGGTTCTGTGTTTTGAGTTATAGGTTGTTCTTAAGCTGCATGTTTTAAAGTGATCATTACATATGTAGAATTGGGTGTTCATGCTTCAATTAACAGAAAAACTTAAATATATACAAGTCATTATATAATAGGTATGAAATCTTCATGTTATCACCTTTCTGCCCCTTTGCCTGTACCAGGGCATATCAAATGTAGACATTTGAAATATTTCATGAAGTCAAAAAAAATAGAGCCTAGTGCCAGACCCATTCATTTCCTTCTGATTACTTTTGAGAATGCAGTACTGCATGGACTTCAGAAGCTTTTCAGGTGCAAGTTTCTAGAAGCTTAGGTGCATGCAGTAATAGTTTCTGGTGCTGTTAATGGGTTGATGTATACTTTAAGTGTAATACTGAGAATCTAAGGGTGTTTCTTTTGGTATGGAGGACCGATGATTGGACATATTTAATTATGTTCCAGAAAGTTGCCATTATTCATTCATTTGATCACATACCTTCTGCTATTAAAGCTAAATGGATTTACTGTCAATTTTCATTCACGGAAATTTTGAATGTTACAGTGTTCCTGTAGAGAACTTTTCTAGAGATGACTGCTATAGACTGTTTTGTGTTGGAGGTCTCATAACAATAGTTCTTGTCTACCTTATTTGGTATCTGTTTTTCTGATCTCTTGTAGTGTAGTTTTATTATTAAAGTTTCAAATGCCCTATACAAAGTAAATTTTAACATTAATGAACTCAGGGTGAGTTTCTCAATATAAAGTTAAAACTTCTAAGACAACAATAACATGTCTTCTTACGGGAAGGTATTGAAAAAAATAGTGAAATTTGAAGTTATGAGGGGAAAAAGGCTTTAATTCTGTAGGAAAATATATTGAAAATGTTGTAACCATCATGGAAGAGTCTATTTCAGTAACAGGTAAATGTCATTCATTTAAAGAAAACATTGCAAGTATCATAAAGCTGAATGCTATTTTAAATCTGGTGCTTTGCTCCAGTGATTTTTATGGCTTTTTTTCCTGTGGTACTATTGAGGTGCAGAAAATTCCAGTTTGAAAACATCCATTATCACCAAGAATGCATTTCTCTTTTCCCAGCAGATGAATTCCTTACTTCTTTCTCACTGAATGACTGCCTACCTAAATAGTTCTGGAATTAGGGTATACTTCTTAGATTTGGCAGCACACTTAACATATTAGAAAAATGACATGTTTAAACTTTAGAATGATTTAGATAGAAAATGCTCTCCCAGACCAAATGTCTCTGTAAAGATTTTCATATGTAGGCTTATGTAAACTTCAAGAGTTTTAGTAAACCTGTTAGGACATTTATACAAAGTGCTTATTTGCATTTTAATTAAGAGGACCAGTATTTTACAGGAAAGATTATTGCTCTCTGTTCTGAAAGAGAGACTAGAACTTTAAGCAATAGACTTCCAATGAAAATTAGTTGAAATTAGTATTATGCATTGGCACTTCAAAAGGAAGCACTTATTCTCCTGTTTTGTAGCTGTGTGACTCAGAGGCAGTACCCATTTAGTATATTTAATGTGTGATTTTCGCATGCATCCAAGCATAATTAAGCTTCTAGAAAATGTATTTCATCTAACTGCTTCTGTGGTCCATAGTGTAGTTGAATCACAAGTAGAACAAATTACATTGAAATAATTATTTTCAACTTTGACTTTTCCCTTAAGATAAAGTTGAGTCAGAGTGAACTTTAACTGCCCTGACAGAAGAGAACTTTTAAGATTTGATATATTCAGGGAGGTGTTGTGATTGTCGTAACTAAGGAAGTCATAGATTAATAGGACCAGCAGCTTTGGCTCTATTTTTCAGAAAAACAAAAACTATTTAATCATTTTGTCTGGCACTAGTTTCTGTTGTATAAGTTTTACTACTGTCTGACAGTAACAAGACTGGTAGGTGAGGATCAACTTTTGAGAGGCTGCTGGAATTGCCACTTTTAATATTTAGTGTTTTAGTAATCTCTTATGAATTTGATGCTAGGTATTCCTATTCCACTGATCACATTACATATTAGAATTAAACTGAGCTTAATTAAACTTAGTTATCTGGGATGGGGAGAATCCCCAACAAAAATTAGTATAGGCTCTCAATGGAATTGTAGTGTAAATAGTTTTAAAAGAAAAGCTGCTCTTATGCTTGCTTGATCATTGGAATTTTTTAAAGAAAATTTTAATGCATGTCTTTTAAATTAATTGGGTAATGTTTTTCTAAAATTAAAATTTTCTTCTTCCTATAGCCCTGCCATAGGACAGGCTGAGGCTGAGTCTCAGTGTTGCCCTGTTCAGTCTGAGGCAAGTGGGATTTATTTTATTCCTTATAGGGGCTTTCACAGCTTTATGGCTGTTGGATATTTATGTCCCCAAACTTGCAGCAAGTTTGGTGAAGGCCCCTAAATTTAATTAACTTAGGGTTTTTATTCTCTTTTGGCAGAGAAGGCTCTATATTAATATTCATGTTTGACTGTGGTGTTAATAAACATGAAAGGCATTTGATAATGTGATTTTATGTAATAAAAATTGTGTTGCTTAATTTAACAGCCTCAGTAAAGCTTATATTGAACTTGAGTAAATTAACGAAATTTGACATTCTCAATATGGAGGCATGAAATGTTTTGTTCAAATTTTTTGCTCTCACTTCTAGGGAAATATTATTGATTTATTTTCTCCTGAAACTATTAAATTTAATCTCAAGGATAAGTTTTAATCATTGGAAATACCAATGGATACAGAAATCTGCATTCTTAAACCCAAACTCATGCATTAAATGTTAAGGTAGAAAGATCATCTGAAAATGCTTGTGATTTTTAAATATTTTTAAACCTCACCACATTAGAGCAAATGTTAATGTAGAGCCCTGTGAAGAGTGGGAAAGTGGTGGTATGTCTGTGTGTGTGGTATGTGTGGTTATAGATGACACATTTAATAATAAAAGGGAAATAAAAGAGTTTGGATATTATAGATGAATCAGTGTGGACAGATTACTAATTTTCAGGTAGCTAAACTGAAATCACATTATGATGTCATAAAGCTAATAGATTGCTAGACTGTGATTTGGGAATAGTTATTTCAAGGTCATTTTTGGCCTTATTGAAAAATGTTTTATGCACTATGCACACATGAAAATATCCACATTTGTTTTCAGCTGAAACTTGCTTTTATTAGGTGAGAAAAGTTGTATGCATGTGTGTTTGATGGAGGGGGATAAAGAAGAAATTTGAAGAGAGCCCCGAATATAAACCTGCATCACCTTTGTTCCTATCTTTGAGTTACCATTCTATCTAGTTAGTATTTTCTTCTTAAACAGTAATAACTAACATACAGTACAGTATTTAGCAAACCTTGGATGGTGTTTCTATGTAGTTTTCATTCTTGGAAGCATACAGAAAAACATACATGACTAAATTTTGGCCTGTTTCATTAGAACAAACATACTTTTCACTGTAACTGAATTATGATAAGGTTTTGAATATTAAGAAAAATAATTTTGATTCTGTGACAGAATGCTCCATTGGAATATTTTATAACCTACTTAGTCATTGCATGTTTTAAACTCCTTATTTGGAGTTTGCTGTTTCTATCTCCCAGTATACTAGAATCTTTTGAAGCTACTTGTTCTAATTTTGATATGATGGTGATAATTAAATAAGTATAATTGAAATAAAGGTCTTACCTGCTCAAGTACTAGGGGAATAGAAGATATTTGTTAATGGTGACATAATTTGTTAAAGGCGAACAAATTCTTTGTAGTTATGTGATTCAAATATGTTTGAGAATTGTTTGAGTAAGCTGATCAAAGTAGACATATGTAACACTCTGATAAAGAACTAAGCGTGTATCCTGATAGCTTGTATAAATCAGTTTTTTTTTTTTTTTTTGAAGATTATATTTACCTACCACTAGTGAATAAGCTTTGTGATTCCAAGTGGAATCTTTACTGTAACTTTTATAGAAAAGTCCTTTAAAAGTGATTCAGTTACAAGACCAACTGTAGGATGGTTTTTATAAGTAAACATTCCAATTCCATCTCTGCTAGCTATCTTGTTATAGTGAAGGTTACTATTTTTATTTATTTTTTTGCTGTAGGGTGTGTGCACTTGCCAGAGATAGAAAGTGAGAAAGCATCCCCCACCCAGAGAGGGTGGCCACATAGTCCCTCCTTCAGTCTCCTCTTGGGATTTTGGGTGCACACACCTTGTGCATGGTGTGTTTTTCAAGCTGCTGAATGAACCTTAATCACTCAGTCAGCCATGTAGCATCTAGATACTCTAAGCTCTGTGCCATCTGCTGGCCCTAGTCTGGTTTTTTTTTTTATTTAATACTTTGTTTTCTGTCATCAAAATAATTTAAATAATGACCTTTCCTTTTGATAGCAAGTCACAAACTTTTGTTGTTATTTCTTGGCAAAATAAGCACTTTAGTGATGTGTAAGGTATCATAAACATAGTGGGTATTTGTGATTTTGTAATTAATACTGAATTTTCAAAAGTAGTTTAATATCTTAAATGCTTATGCACTCCTATTATAGATCTAATTCAAATCAGTAAGTAGGAAATGGAGAAAGCAGGGCTTCAGTTTGAGCTTTGGAATAATTTAAATATGTTCAACTTTTCCAATTTTTTAAGCCCGATAATAAAATGTTTTTCAAAGAATTCTTTATTTAATTTTGTTCATTATAATTTACTCTAGGGCACATAGGCTCACCAAGAGAGACAGTGAGAGAGGGAAAGTGAGAAAGCAAGCATCCAAATCTGGGACTCAAAACAGCTATTGGCCATGGTGGGAGTCTAGTGCCTTAACTGCCGCCCCATTTGCTGGCCTCTTAAAATGTTTATAATCGTTTTTTTTCCCTTGAA